CTCCTCCTCCTCCTCCTCCTCTCCCTAGCCCTAAAGTCCCCGCCGTATCTGCCCCTCCCTGTTACGACCGCAATACCCCGACCCTCTCCCGTGTCTCTGGTCCCCTCAACCACCCCCATGGCCCCCGCAACTCCCGGCAGGTCCTCCGAATCATACATACTCAAACACTCCCCCAAACAGTCCCCACGTGAAAGTTAAAAACACAAAATTTACAACAATATGGTCATAAAAGTGGGACATTCATTCATCTCATGCGTACCTCATATATAGCCCATGCAAAGGGAGAAGAGAAAGATGAAAGAAAGATGAAAGAAACTGCTTTGTGAAAGCGAAATGGCCATATTCCCACCTTGTTTCTCCCTACTGCAAGTGCCAGTAGAACATGCAAAACCCCAAACTGAAGAAAATATCAGGGAAGTTAAGTTGTTTCCCACTCAAATCAGGGATACAAGTTTAATGCATGACTTTTTATGAAATATTTTATTGATTGATTACTTGATTATCTGCCATCAAGTTGGTGTCAGCTTGGACCAACCACACAGGCAAACTTTCTCCAGAACAGTCTGTCTCCCTCGCCACTATGTTCTATACACCATGTTGTATGGCTTCCCCTCCTATGTATATGTTTTGCATAGAGCAATGGAATGTTCTAGAATTCCAATTTTCCTAAGAATATTCCACAACTTGATATAGTTGAAACATTCAAAGACCTTCAATGTCTCAATGAAGTACATATTATTGACTTATTTTTTTGTATTCTTTGACTTTCCCATTAATGTCTCTTGTTTCCTGTTTCTTGTTCAAGGTAGCTTGGACATCTGCTATCTCCTTTTCCTATGTAGAGTTCTAATTTGTGTCGAGTGATCTTAAGCATTATTTTGCTAATATGTGAAATGTAGCATATTGTATAATATTTTGCACAATCTGTTAAGTCATTTCTTTGATATTGATTTGCAGACTCATGTCTTCCAAACTTGGCCACTATGACTTTCTCCAGTTTCACTGCCATAGTTTAGGTAGAATCTTTACTAATTCTGCTGTTGTAGGCACGTCTTTGCTGTATTAATTAAGCTTTTCTAGCTCCTTTTACCAATAATGTAGTCATTTTTTTGTTGTTTACTCTGTCTGGCAATGTCTATGTACATTGGCATTTATTTATTTTTTTGGTTGAAGACTATGTTTCAATGAAAAACATCTTTAGATTGGCAAAAACTGGCACCATTCTTCTGCTTTATTTCTATTTCTTGTGCCATATAGTCCAATTACATTTTTCTCTTTGCTACTTACAGCAATGATTTTTCAGTCTCCAACCACAAGAACTATGGACTGCTTGCATTTTCTGTCAATTTCCATTTGAACATGAAGATAAATCTCACCAACCTCCAGTTCTTTTACATCAGTAGTTGGAGCATAACCTGGATAACAGTTATAGCAAAGAGTTTTGCATTAAGTCTAACTGATGCTATTCAATCATTGACTCTATTGCATGCAAATATTGCTATATTTGTAGAATAAAAAAGAGCTGGAAGGATCCTTGGAGTCTTCTATTCCATCCCCCTGCTCAAGCAAAAGAATGTATACTATTTCAGATAAGTGACTGTCTACTACAGTGATGGTGAACCTTTTTTGGCACCAAGTGTCCAAACAAGAACGTGTGTGCATACATGTTTATGTGTGTGCGCCAGAGCACTGGAAACCCAAAGATCAGCTGGCTGGCGTGCACATGTGTGTTTTGCAGGCCAGTTTCAGGCTGGTTTCCGGGCCATTTTCCAGGTGTTTGGGGGGTGTTTTGGGGCCGTTTCTGGGTGTTTCCAGGTGCTCCAGTGCCCGCCTGAAAACGGCCTGAAAATGCCCCAAAACCGGCCTGGAAAATGGCCTGGTTTGGGGGCATTTTTCAGGCCATTTTCAGGCTATTTTCCGGCTCCTGCAAAGACCAGCTGGCCATGCCAGAAACCAGAAGAGCAGTTCGCAATGCCGCCCATGCCCACAGAGAGGGCTCTGCATACTACCTCTGGCACACGTGCCATAGGTTCATCATCACAAGTCTAGTATCTTCTTTAAAACCTCCAGTAATGGAGCGGCCACGATTTCTGAAGGCAAGCTGTTCCACTGATCAATTATCCTTGCTGTTAGGAAGTTTCTCCTTAATTCCAGGTTGCTTCTCTCTTTGGTTAGTTTCCAACCATTGTTTCTTGTCCTGCCCTCTAGTGCTTTGTAGGATAATTCAACCCCCTCTTCTTTGTGCAAGCCACTGAAATACTGCTATCATGTTACCCCTAATTCTTCGTTTCTTTAGACTAGCCAAATCCAAATCCTACAGCTGTTCTTCATAAGCTTTAGTCTCCAGGCCTTTGATCATCTTTGTTGCCCTTCTCTGAACTTTTTCCAAAGTCTCAACATCTTTTTTGTAGTATGGTGACCAAAATTGGTTGCAGTATTCCAGATGTGGTTACTAGTCTTACTAGGGTTTTATAAAGCTTTTCTGACGAAATAAACACTGTTCTTTTTTGTTTTGTTTTTCATATTGTAAGATCTTATGATTGAAAGTGGCCAATTTCAATTCATTATTATTAGATAATGTCTAAGATAACATATGTAGCTAATTCATTTGTCTCTCATTGTCTTGAGCTTTCCCATATTCAGGTTTTCTACATTCCACGTTCCCAGTGCAAATTTTATTTTTGCATCTTTGGATTCTTTTCCTTCATAGCAACCTCAGCAGTTAGATGTCAAGAATAATTTAATCTTGCCACACCATAAATACTTTTAGTACTCTAAATGATCCTCGCTCATGCTGTATAACACGTTCAGTACCATTTAACCTGACAGACCACCATCTGACACTATAATGCAAATCGCTTTATAGAAACTATCCATGTGATTTTCTTGGTAAAATATAGAAGTGACTTACCATTGCCTTCTCCTGCAGAATATGAATTGATGCCTCTGCCATTGTTGCTAAAGTAATCAGCCATTTCTAGCATCTTACCATATCTCCTATAAGTAACTGTCTCATTTTACCTAGGATGACTTTCATGACTTGGGCAATCCTACAGAGTGTATATATATTTTAGGTGTACATTTCCAGCATCCTTTGCTCATCCTTCCTAGGCTTGATGAGGCAGCACAGATTAACTCAAAGGGACCTGAAATTTTACTAATCTTCATATAAGGATACCAAACTCTTATCAAGGTTTGATAGATACATTAAAAAATCTTGTAATTGTAGTGATCCAGATATGTCATCATAATTTGCATACCACAGCTATCATATATTACTGGCACCAGATTTGTCTTGGTCCAAGCTTTTTTTTTTTTTTTGCTTTGCAATATTTCCTAAATTATCAGGGTGGAGGGACAATATACTAAATATAACTAAATTCCATTTCACCAGCCCTGGTCTTTTAGTTTTACAATTTTCCCTTTCCCTTTCCAATTTAGACAATATTGTCAGTTCTACTATCTGGAAGGTAAAGCCCTCATTTTCATGGATGATAAATTAGGTTTTTAGTTATGTAGTTATTAATAGTGCAGTAGGAGAGTTCTATAATGAGATTTGATTTAAATTTCTGGACCTGGGCAATAGACCCCAAAATGCTATGCTATATAACATATAATTGTATCAATTTTTATTATGTGTAATTAGATAAATTCACATAGATATGAATATTTATGTTTTGGTACCATGAATGTTGAATATAATTCTTTTCATGATAGGTCAAAAAGGAAAGTGCTTGGAAGAAAGGATTCTGGAGACCTTTCTTCAAGGAACAGACTGAAAGCTTCATCTAGTAGTAGTAGTGTGTCTTCTGTCAGCAGCACCTCACCTGCAACTAATATTCCCCTCACTCCTACCAGTGTGGGAAGTCCAGCATGCAGCCACAGGTCTCCTGGACTTATTTATCGGAATGCCAAAAAGTCCAGTACCTCAAATGAGGAATTTAAACTACTGCTCTTGAAAAAAGGTAGTCGGTCTGATTCTAGCTATAGGATGTCAGCCACTGAGATACTAAAGAGCCCTATTTCTCCCAAATCTCCCGGAGAACTAATTGGGGATACTCTTCAAACTGCAGATGAACCCTTTCAAGCCTCATCAAGAGCTGAGGCATTAGCTCCTCTCCCTCCTTGTCCCCCAAGGATAAACGTAGAAGGGTTTTCTTCCAAAAGTTTTCCCACATCAGCATCTTCACGTGTAGGACGATCACGAGCACCTCCAACTGCAAGCAGTAGCCGATACAGTGTTCGCTGTCGATTATATAACACCCCAATGCAAGCCATTTCAGAAGGAGAGACAGAGAATTCAGATGGGAGCCCACATGATGATCGTTCTTCTCAAAGCTCAACATAAGTTGCCTAAGGGTCTGAGCACAATTCTGACTGTTAAATGGGGGAACTCTGCATTTTCTAAACTCATTTCACTTTAAAAAGCCTATTCTGTAGCAGTCAAATACCTTAAAAGGCAATATGTGATGCTTGAAAATGTTAAAGAATGCTGAAAGATGGGATTAAATGATCTGTAGGTATTTATTATGACCCATTTTCTATGACTAGAAATATATGGTTAACTTTTAATTCCCCCTCCCCCCATTCTTCTTTCCACCGTCAATGTAAATTTATCCAGTTTTCTATATTCCTTTTTTCTTTCCAGAAACATTACATTACTTTTATGCTTCCCTAGGAGTGGCAAACATAAAATTGGTGAGGAATTAGTATTTTTTTTACATTAAAATGAATTGAAACAAAATAGAATGGACAAAACAGATGTACATTTCTGTATTTTTGATAAGCAAATGTAAATAAAATTATTGCAGAGAAAAATGCGGTGGGTGACAAATGCAAACTATCTTATATGAAAACAAAGGCTAAAGATATGGTAATGACTGTATTCTGTGAATACAATTTTCAGATCAAGTTTATTTACATATCAATCACTACCGCTATTAAATAATTAAAGCCTCTAACATGAATTTAACACTTGGATTAGTGGAAATCCTATTAATAAAAACTATGAAATTAAGTAATATCTGATTTTCTTTGACAACGTCATTCCAAGCAAGCTAATTTTAAAACAAATTCTTTGAAAAGAGGCTAATGACAAATAGTACAATGTTTATAAACCAGGTTTTCTGCTCTGGCTTCCCCCTCTTAAGAATTCTGAGAAGTGTGGCTATGTGGAATTTTTTTAGTATATCAAATATTGTATCACTTTTGACTGATTTCTTCACTTGTCACTTAAAACAATTTTAAAGTTCTTTAAAGTTTTTTTCCATTCTCATATCTTCATTTAGTTTCTTTCCTTGCCATCCTCCACTTGTTTACATACTGCAGTTGTCTGAGGAAATCTTTGTGTTGGATGGTCTTGAATACTTATAAACAAGGTATTGCACTGAACATGAGGACTACAAAGAAACTACAAAAGAAGAAACATTAAAGAAAATCTAAAACAAGAATCTAAAGCTCATATAAATAGCCATAGATTTAAAATGGGAAAGAAAAAGGAAAATAGACAATCAGCCAAATATTCATTTATTATTAGAGCAATAGAAGAAGAAAAATGAAATAGAGGAAAAATGAGGTTTAATAAGCAATAAGCAATACAAAATATGAAAAATAGATGCAAAGATCTGCCTTAAAAGTCAACTTACAATTGAAATAAACTAGCATTAATCATCAAAATCCAAATAGAACAGTGAATTTTAAGAACTAATTAGATACATGATAGACACATACAAATACACACACACACACACACACACACACACAAACACACACTGAGAACTTCAGAGATACAAATAAAAGGTATCTCTGATACTATCCTAAGACAAAATCTTTTCAAGGGACAGTTTGGGATGGCTCAGAGATTGAGAATTTTGTTTTTATATACATTTAATACTAAATTAAAGGGTTTTTTAAATTTAAATTTGAGCCTTGAGTAACTGAATCCTAGGCTATGCTCATATCCTATTTATTCCATTTTAGTTAGTGTATCCTGAAATTTTATGAACCTGCTGTGGTTAGAATGCAGTACTGCAGGCTACTTCTGTTGGCTGCCAGCTGCCTGCAATTTGGCAGTTCAAATTCCACTAGGCTCAGTGTTGACTCAGCCTTCCATCCTTCCGAGGTCAGTAAAATGAAGACCCAGATTGTTGGGGGCAATATGCTGACTCTGTAAAACCGCTTAGAGAGGGCTGTAAAGCACTGTGAAGCAGTATATAAGTCTAAGTGCTATTGCTATTTATATGTAAAAGTACCTACATCTAGAGTTCTCTGAGGAAATCCTTAAATTGGCTTTCAGATTTCTGTTGGCTGGTCTTCTCTGCAATTGCTGCAGAATGATGCTAATAATATTTTTTTTAGTAGTTATAAACAAGAATTGCACTGAACATGCAGACTGCATAGAAACTAGAAAAGTAGAAACATTAAAGAAAATCTAGATTTTTAATCTTTCCCAGTCATATTATACCATATAGTACAGTGCACATAACTTTGCGTAACTAGTATAAACTATACTATTCCAGCTGCAGTATGCTTATAATGGCTGCAATATGCTTATAATGGCAAATTTTATTTGCATTAAGAGAATAAATTTGTTAAGTAATTACAAACTCAGGAAAAATAATTTAATTTTTTTAAATTATAAAACAAAACTCCATTTATATCAGGATCTTTCTTTACTGCTCCTTTACTATCATAGGAATGCCAAGATTCTAGATTTCTGAGTTGTATTTTATAGGCTAGCAACACTTTACTATAAGGCTGGAAATTTAATCAAGTTTTTCTTTAAATTGGGACTGTGTCAATCATCAGTAACATTTATACACTTTGCCTTAAATTGCTCATTCCATAACAGCTAGACAATAACTTCATCTGGGTATCTGCAGATTTGGCTCATTACTTGTATAGACCACTACAGATTACCATGAGCTCTGCCTTTAGTTCTCCACTTATCGATCATATATCCATAATTTTTATCTCTTTCATAGGTTTGCTGTGAGGGTCAAATGGGAAAGCTGCCTAGAAGAAAGTTGTGTAGGCTACAAAGGTGATTAAATAGTGTGATTAATATTTATCTTATGTGCAAGTTATTGAAGAACAATAAAATATACTGTTTTCTAATTCCTTAGGTAAACACATAATTGTCACTTTGTCCATCATCTTGTAGATTTAATAATTAAGTGTTTCAGTTCTAACAAAGAACTACAATTCCCAGAGTTCTTAGGGGAAGCCATATCCAATGAACAGATATGAACGCTATTGTGCCACCATAACTATTAGCATTGGTGTTTGGAATGAAAAACACATGTAAAAAGGACAGCAGAAATAACATTTTTTAAAAACCTCCTTTAAAAAAAATGTTAGGTATCCAGCTTTTTCTATGACATTTGGCACTAAATATGGCCAGTGATTATAGTTGTTTCATACTACTATTACAACTAGATTGTTGGGAAACCTAGCAATGCTCTGATAAATAAAACAAAATTAATTTCATGTTCATAGCTAAGTAACTATTAAGCATGCAACAAATGCTATTGATTCACGAATAAACTGTACAATAATAATGCAATGAAGCTTTGTATGGACAATATTCATCCTAACTGAATATTTATGAAAACGACACTGTAAAAAAATAAGAACTAGGCATATGTATGCATCCTTTATACATCTTATAAACATGGAATGGAGAAAGTCTCTGATTCATATTGCTCAGTTACTTTCTATCTAGATTTTACTAAAAATGTTTACAGGAAAGGAGTCCATAGTAGATGGGGTACAGAAGAAATCAGAGCAAATATTATGACTACCAGTAAATGAAAGCAGGGGAAAGCTGGATTACTTGAAGTTGCTTGAAGTTTTTTGTTAGAAGACCAAAAGCAAAAGCATGCTGATGGATCAAATTACAGTAGAGATTTTTAAAAGTCATTCCAAATATAATATTTTCCCAAGATACAACCCATCCATTTGCCATGTGTAACCTGTTCTAAAATGAATTATTTGAATCGGGTTGTAAAATACAGTTTATCAAACTGGAGAACTAATTAAAGCAGAACTTAGAAAGAAAGATTTTGACACTATTTCGAGATGAAATGTATTCTCAAATTCTGACTAAGTATAGTAACTGATTTAAGTACCATATTTTTCGGAGTATAAGACTCACCTTTTTCCCTCAAAAAAGAAGCTGAAAATCTGGGTGCATCTTATACACTGAATACAGCATTTTTTGCCTCCTGAAACCCCGCCCCCTTCACCAAAATGTCCATGCGTAGCCTTTAGGAGCCGTGCAGAGTGCGCTTGGGGTCTGGGGACAACAGAATGAGCGAAAAATGAGCCATTTTTTGCTCAATTTTGCCCCCCCCCCCCCAGCCCCCAGAAGCACTCTATAAGCCTCCTAAAGGCTATGCATGCCCTTTTTTTGACAAAAAACGGGCCCGTTTT